CAGCACCAGCACCAGCAGCAGTAGCAGCAACAATAGTGCTCTCTCTTATTTAACAGATTCACTTGTTGTTCAATAACTTTTATTCGCATAGTTGACTTTAGTGCAGACGAGTTTTTTAAGTCCTACTGAAAGATTGCTATAAAAAAAAAAAAAAGGAATAAAAATTAATCAAATTATTTTAACTTACGCATAAATAAACAAATATTAACTAGAACGAATTAACCGACGGTAATTATCATCATCGTTGAGACAGTGTTCTAATAAATTTTGTATATGAGTTCTTCAATCAAATATAAATAAGTGTTGATATCCGAAACAATAACAAATTCTCATTTTATTCGGAGCAATTAAAATGTGCGTTTGGTTCGTGCGGGTGTAAAGTTACAAAACAAAAACAAGAACAAAAAAAAACAATTTTTTTAATCCTTTAAGTGTCAATTTCTTTAAAGCGGATTTTTTTTTCATTATTATTTATTTTTTTGTTATCGAAGATACCGAGAAAACTTAGCAGTGCTATGATTTATATATAAGCGTTGGCATGAAATTGTGAATAATCCGTTACGACAAAGCACGGTGTTAACTGTTGAAATCGGCAAATATTCGAAATTTCTAAATATTAATAATAATAATAATAGAGAGTAAAAAAATAAATAGAAAAAATTTCTAACGAAAGGAAAAACCAAGAAACATTAAACAAAAATTAATTTAAAAATTAAAATACTTAAACCAAATAAATAATAATAATAATAATAAAAAGAAGCAAGTAAGAGATTTTTTTAATTGTCTATCTCTTTGAGCAAATTTGTTTTTCGTTCACGTTGCTATTCAACGATGCCAACTCTTCGCAGTTCGGGAGACCGTCTTCCGAGAGATGAGAAAATCAGTGCACAGTAAAATGTTATCTAACGCAAATACGAAAATTGATTGATTTTTATAATTAAATTGTCCGCTAGAGTTACGCGCTAAAGTTCTTCTGTTTGTATACGGTATTGTTTTGGCCGAATTCACGATTTCGCTAACAATCTCTGCGACTAAGCTTACACATTAGAGTAGTTTTTATGGGCTGTAGCACCCTTTACACAAGCTCTAACCTTCTCCTTCTTCGGTATTTCGATGTCGACCGTTTCGGATAATATTCCTTAGCGTATCTTGTTTTATTCGACAATAAAGTCTTCAATTTTAAATCTCAAGCCAAGTTATCCGGCAGCCTCTAAAAGCATACTTAATAAATTTATTTGCAAAATATATAAACAGTAAATGAAAACAATAAATGAAATCTTCATAATATTAACTCATCTTGCATCTATAAGTGTATAGTATAAGGAATGTAGCAAATATTTGAAACAGATTTTATAGTAATATCTGCGTTAGATCCATAGGTTTTAATTCGATTTTTTCGAGATTGTTGGGCGTGTTTTTTAAATGATCCAGTATTCATAGGCTTACAAGGTTGATAGACGAATATTGCTACAGTAAATTTAAATTCTCATCGACAAGTGACAATATTTTGCTTCCCCTAAATAATCATGTTTGGTCAACTTTTATGAGATATTCGCAAAACATAAAATATGTTGCAGTGATCACGTCGGGAGACCTCACTGACTAAGCAATTAATGCTAGTTAAGGAATCATGCTTATTGGGAATTCTAGGTTCCTGTTAGCAGTTTGTCCGGACCTCTCGGTCCAGCGAGTACACCTTGATATCCAAGGACATTGCAAGCTTGCTATCATTATTGTTAGACGCAATGCATCTTTTTCAGAAACTTCATAAAAGAGGAAAGTGGAGCTTTCTTAAAGCTCACATTCAAACAGTCAATTATTTTCTTGTGTTCATAAACGGGGGCCATAAATTTATTACGTTGAACATATTCTCTCATTCGCAGCTTGAAGAGGAGAAACTACGCGCATGCGTACATTTCTGACCGTTATGCGTGGATATTAAAACACCCACATATTCCGCTGGATTACAAGATAACCAGCATTCGAATTTAAGTGTAGTGTACATCACTACCTTCGCTATAGGACATGTAGAATCTTTTATATTACAACAAACAATGTTAATGGTACGCATGCGCGGGTCTATTAGGGCAATTAAATACAAATATAAATTTCAGCCGACGTTGTCTTCGTTATTGGTCACAAGATAAAAAAATGTGTTTTCTGTTCATAGTTTTTGTGATCTTGTATCAAATTTCGCATTGCGAAGCAACGGTCAGAGTACAATTTTCCAATATTAATTTTGTTGAACAACAACGTTCTTGAGCCATGAAAAATGTGTGCATGCATTTCCCTTATGTACGCGAATTTTTACGATTTAAATTTAGTTTAACATTAGATCGACAGTTAGAGAGGCAGTTGGGCACACTGATGTCGGCAAACAGATTCAGAATGCTTGGCTTAAGAACGCAACGTTAAGAAATTGTTGTGATTTGTCATTGCATAAGCCGAGAATAGAAAAGCTCTCTACATATGTGTAATTGATTTCCTTTCACTTGCCTGTCCGTCTGCTCGTTTTATATACTTGTCGGATGTTTTTTCTTTTGTTTTTGATAAAACTTGGAATTAGTGTTTGCATCGATTTAAGCTATGTTGCCCATGGGTTCAACATACAGGTCAGCATTTTTGGGATATTTTGATGAAATTTGGCCCATGGACAAGCGGTGCTTCACATCGGACTATTTTTTCGACCTCTTCGCTCGTTATGTGAATAGCTATATTAAACGACGCGGTAAGCTATTCAATCGTTTACCATGGTCCCCTGTAATGTTTTTACCTACTAGAAATTTATCGATATATATATATATAATTTTTGATATCCTAAAGGAAACGAATTGATCGGCAGCGAATCTACCACTCTAAAATTTTTCAATTATTGCAAAAGAAATGATAAATTTAATATACTCACCTCACCCCCTTCTTCTTTGATAAGTTCAAGAAATAAAATTAAATATTAGAATAAACAATAGAAATAGATTGATAAGAAATTTTAAAAAAAAAAAAAAAAATTAGGAACATTTTCCACCTGCTTAATAAAAAGAAAAAGGAGAAGAAATAGATGCAGTATTTGTTGACAGACTCGAAATACTTTTATGCCGGTTCTACGTCTGGAAATCAATCGAGATTACGTCTAAATTTATGCGAATCTAAGAATCTCAACATTAGGTAAACAGACTAGCGGGGAGAAGTTTTCAATTTTGGAGAACTATTATTTTCAATCAATTTCGCGCCTTCCCCTGGCACCTTGCGGACATTCATTCCTGGCGTATGTATCCCAGAGTGCCACGGAGTTTCCGTCAAGAATTCATATTAAACTTTAAAGAGATGTGCATTTAATGTTCCTGCTCTTTAACTAACACATCCGTGTTTATGTTTATGCCCTTAACCCGACACTGAAAATACACTTATTATATTATGTTTGACCTTGCAGTAGAAAATAAGAAGAGATTATAACTGCAGTAAAATGACGGTATTCTTAAGCAACATTTGATTACGTCTATTCCTATTCTCGATGAAAGTGATTCCCGCCCATTAAATGATTAGTGTTTATAGACTTACTTAAGACATTCGATATTCAAGATTTGTGTTAATGGATGAGTCTTAATGCCTTTGCCGACTGAGCACTCACTACGTAACTACGACCAAAGACAATTCTATCGCACTGGAGATTTGAATCTACTCGCGCTTATATGCTAGTCGCGATTCGTATCGACGCGGCTACTCGGACAGTTTTTAGAAAGTAAATGTGAAATGCACTTCATTGAATTATTCTAATGCAACGTTTAACTCTCGCATAAAAAGGGACGTGTTAAAGAGAAAAAACGCTTCAGAATAAGCGTGTAAAAAAATGTTGGCAAGAAGTGAACGAGAAAGAAAATCGCGCAAACACGATCGTAAACATGAAACCTGTAAATGAGAGGTTCAAGTGTTCTTACTTGCACTGTTAAAAGGAAAAGTTGCGATTACTGTAGACAACAATAGCGCATGGCGTACGCCTTAACAAATTTGTACACATTTTATGATTAACTCAAATAGACGCCTTTATATGTTTACACAGTTGTTAATTTCCAAAATTGCAGTGTATCATAATAATAATCACGATATGTACAATTCCGGATTTTATTTATAAAAGCAATTAGTTTACCTTACAAAGAAGAAAAAGATATCCTCTCTGAGGTATAAATTTCCTTTCACATTTACTGCCGTACTGGTTTGACTTGTCCGAAGCGAAGCAAAACAAAACAAAACAAAACAAAACAAAAAACTTAATTCTTAAGAATGTTGTGTTGTTTACTTCTTTCTAGAAACATGAACATCCAAAAAGAAAAAAAAAAAAAACAAAAAATTATTAAGTAAAAGTTAAACGTAACCCAAACTATATGAACTGTTGTGCTGCATATGAATGTAACAAATAATAATGAAAAAAGTGGTTTCTTTCAAGGTGTGCGTCCTTGTTTTTTTTTCTTTTTTCTTTTGTTTTTCTTCTTCTTATTTCTTAAAGGAACAATAACAAAAACAGAAAAGCGTGTAATTTTATACATATGCACATAAATGGTTACTTATTGAAAGTGTTGAAATCATGGAAGCAGGAGAACAAGCTTACAAACCCAATTGTTTGCAAAAGGAGGAATGGAAATTTTGCTCTGATTTTTAAAATTCGAACAAATTCGCAATATGTATGTCCATTTAGCAGAGAATGTAATTAATTTGTTATACCGTTTGTAACATTCAAAAAAACTGCATTGGATGATTGGTACGCATGGCAATTGCCGGTTACTAACATCGGCTTTAGATAGTGATAGAGTATACAATAAAAAAAGTTACTCAACAAGAAGTAAATTTCTTTAATTTTCTTAATTGAAAGCTGCTTTCAAATCCTTCTCTCACTTATCATCGTATCGTAACTTGCTTATGAATTTCGTCAGCATGAATCTAATGATATTTTTAAGTCTTTGGATCGTAACGATTGATGAATGTGTGGTTTTTTCGCTTAGAAATCTGAAGATGTAAGCCAACGTTCACATGAAACATGAGTTAGATAAAATATTAACTAATTTCTCTGCACTTAATTGCTGTTCTTATTTATTAGCATAAACCGTTTTACGGAAATGTTTAGTATCCTAAAGCAATAAAATCATAACGTAGGATACTAATAGCTTGGGCATTACATGATGAAATTAAGGTTTCACGTCAATACAATGAAAAAGCGTAGCATAGCATGTTCGCTAGTAAGTAACGCTTACTTTTCTTATTGTATTTTGTTTGTCGTTTTTTTCCTAAACATGACTTTTGACAACTTATATGTACTAATCGTGGTGTAGTGAAAGGGGAAATTTCTTATTAAATAATAGTCTCAAGCCGCTTCTTTGTTAAGAAAACGCTAAGAGAGATTCTAATTAAAGCAAAATATTCTGAAATAAACTATCTATCAGTGTATGTGTAGACCAATAAGCTCGTAGATGTTCACTCATCTTGCCAATCACTATAATAAAGGCATATGCACTTAACACTATCGAGCTCAACGATCTCCTATTCAGTTACCCAAAACTCACATTTCCATGCTATGCATAAAATTCGTAATTAAGGGAATTATTTATGATAACATATAATATGTAAATATAATCATCCAATTTTGCCGTTACCGCGCGTCTATGTAACGAAAATAACATAAGATTATATAGGAATAAGTGAGAAGAAGTACACACACAAACACACACACACACACACATCGGGTAGGGTTTTTAAAGACTCACTATAAATGATGTTTTTCAAAAACCTGTAATAAATATTGTATCGACTTTCAAAGACAAAAAAAAAAAAAAAACAAGCTACAGGAACAAAGTCATTCGCATTATGAACAGCCTTGTAAAGGGCATTTGGACTTTGAACTTGATTTGCTACAAATGATAAAAATGACAAAACAAAAAAAGAATTCAACTACAGTAACATTAACCAAAAATAAACGCGATAAAGGTGAAATGAGAATTTTTTGTTTTTCATTGCAACAGCAATTATTTACAGTCGCTGCTGATTTGCGTCAACATAATAATAAAACATATATCACGAGATAAACATGCGCCGGTTATTTGTATTCGTTCTTCAACGATTTTATTAATAAATATGATTTATTTTTGCCTTCATACGCAGATTTCAAGAGATCAAGAGATGAATAAAACTTTTTTGCATTAATACCACAAGTAAAACATTTTTCAAGTAAAATATTAAAAAGAACAAAAGCCAAAGGACTTTCTGATAAATCTTTTCCCCAAAAAGGAATTTCAGTTTATAATAAGTGTTATAAGTAAATTAACAAAAGAAAAAAGAGGGAAAGAAAAGAAAAGGAAAGAAATCTAAGAGAAAATAGCGCATAAAACAAAATGCGTTTTACTTATAATCAATATAATTATTATGAGTCCGGTTATCGGATTCCATCAAAAATGCATAACAGCAACAACAGTAATGGCGGTAATAATAACAGCAACAACAATAACAATAACAATAGCAACAGCAACAACAACAGTAATAACAACGGTAACAATGCAAATAGTTCGCTGTCTGTTGTGTATCCACATCATCCCCACCATCATTATAAAAATAATTTTGGTAAGCAAAACAAAAAAAAAAAAAAAAAAAAATAGATCAAATAAAACATTAACGAAAAAAAAATAAA